CCCCCCCCCCCCCCCAGCAGACCAGGCTTTTCTCGCCGACGCCTGGGGTAGAGCAGCTGGGGGGCTGCTGGGTTGGTCCCACAGCTGCTCTGCCCCAGGCGTGTCCGATTCAGCCGCTGCTGGTCAGTTCCGACTTACATACAAATTCAAACCTACAGTCCCTACCTTGTATGTAACCCAGGGACTGCCTGTATTAACAACTGTTATCTTAAAGTTTAGACCTACTCCCAATAAAGTCAGAGAAAGAACTTCCATTGACTTTAATGTAGGAAAGATTGGGCTCTGGATCTGGGGCCTATACTAGATTCCTCTGAAGTCCTGATCCTTGGTGCCCTGAACATGAGGTCCTGTAGGAGTGCAAACTGCCCAATTGAGCCTTCCTGATATCACACTAAGCTGGATGAGGCTTAACACATCTCCAGTGTTAATTACATAATCTGCAATCTGACCTGTTTACCGTGTCCATTAAACTGAAGTAGGATTCTGGCAAAAGCCTCCTCAGAAGGCGTTTCCTGATTAAATTAGCTATGCAAAGAACAGTAATTGCTGTAGGTTGAACAGACACTCATCCTCCCTCTCATTCTGCCTGTCCCCTGCCCTTCCCCCGGATAACCAATCAAAATAAAGAATCCTTCTTCCTTAGATCTACTCTGTCAAAATAATTCCATCTAAAAGTGAGTGCATCAAATTCATTATACTAATGCAAGGGCATGCTGAATTATGCAGAAAAACCCTGCACATGTCAAAGCTAGTTGCCATATAAGTATCACTGAGGCTGACTGATCCGCAGCTTCATTTCCCCCATATACAAAAATTGCAAAGAGGCAACAAAGACATGAACTGGTTACAGAAGGAATACAAATGTAAAAAGCTTTTGGAGTAAACATTTACCTGAAATGGACCCCAGGAGGACGCTGCTCTTTATATGTTTGTAGACATACTCGTAGCTTTGAGATTTAAGAGGTGACCCTGTAGACAGTATAGTGTGAAGTGTATGAAGGTTGTGGGTATCACCTCAAAAAGAAGAAAACCAAGCATTACAAAAAGAAGAAAACCAAGCATTACAAACATTTAAACATCTTATCTATTCACCAATAGATAAATGCAAGTTGCCAAATACAACCCTGTGGCTAGACTACAAGGCTAAAGAAATCGATAGGCGTTTGAAGCTTACATGGTTTTAAATTTTTCTCTTCTAGCACAGCCAGCCACTTTGCACCTGTTCCAAGGATGGTGATCCTAGAAAGGAGAAACATTTTCAATGGTTTTGCACATTGTGTATCTTACAGGATCAATTATTGTGGTTGCTTAAAGCTTTAAAGATTCCCAGCAATTAAAAGTAGGCAAGTCATTGGAGTCACTTCTATAGCTTTGAAATTTTTTATTCTGGCTTTAAATATTAAGCTTTTAATATTGTAACCTGTAAGCATTCACTTACAGGTTACAAGAATCCACAGCTACAGAACATTGCCTAACATTTAAGTCATTAATTTGCCATAATTGCCATTGCCCTGTTTAACAGAAAACTATTGCCTTGTTACAGTCTCTCATATTTTAATGTTATTCCAGTGCAATGTAGTGAAAAATACCTCATCTAAAAGATAGTAATCCAAGGTGTGCTCTCAGGTACACACTCAATTCCAACTTAAGTCAATGAGAGTTGCATATCTGAGAATGGAACATGACCTTCAAGAGCCATTACATTCTGGAAAAGTTAACTTCACAGTATATTCTATATATTGGTACATACTGAATTCTAGAATGGCCAGTGCAATGTAGTGAAAAATACCTCATCTAAAAGATAGTAATCCAAGGTGTGCTCTCAGGTACACACTCAATTCCAACTTAAGTCAATGAGAGTTGCATATCTGAGAATGGAACATGACCTTCAAGAGCCATTACATTCTGGAAAAGTTAACTTCACAGTATATTCTATATATTGGTACATACTGAATTCTAGAATGG